TGATTCGTAACTTTAATGTTAGGCGTTTCACTATTTCAGGCGTTCATGAATAGTGCGGAGTTCAAGACCAAATATGCCATAAAAGACGAAGATGTATGTTTCTGGCTTGTCCGCTGACAGAGTTGTAGCGGGTTACTATTCACAGCAGCAGACAGACTTGTTTTTAGAAATACCTCAAATTGGCAAAGCGAAAACGGGACCTGGAAGAGAAGAAGAAGGCGGCCAAACGTAAAGGTGGTAAGGGTGACGATGACGAGAAAGACAACAAGGAAGACGATGGACATCAAGCCGATGAAGAGGCTGATCCATTTGCAGCTCAGCGAGCAAGGTTAAAGCAAGTTTTGTCAAGGTATGTTTTGTTGGGTACAAGCTTTTTCAGTACCTGTTTCTTTACTTCTTACTTACTTGTAATAGATTCCGATTGCGGGGCCGAGGTGAAGAAGATCCGGATGTTTATGAGAAAATGGTCGACAGGATGAAAAAGGGATCGAGAGGAAGGGAAAGCACGAGGTAAACTAGGAAGTTGGATATTTAGAATTTTTTAATTACATTCAATTTGTTTAAGGATACTTCTTCGTCTTTTCGAACGAGGAATCGGATATCATCATGGCGCTCTTAACAATGCCGAGAAAGGAGCAGTAGAGGTGCTGTACCGAAGTGGGCACTTGGCTATAATCTTCACCACATCTACCCTCGCTCTCGGGTGAGATAGTATTAGTAATGTTAAGGATCGTGCTACGACGTGTTCCGTACTTCCAGATGTCATTGGGTTCGAAGTAAATTATTGTTTCAGTGTGAACATGCCTTGTAAGACAGTGCTGTTCGGTGTAGATACGCCATTCCTCACTCCTCTTTTATTCCGNGGTCGTGCTGGACGACGTGGTTTCGACCATTCTGGAACCGTGTGCTTCATGAGTGTACCTACGAGGTGCGTTTTTTGGTTCCGTAATATTCTTGCTTATTTTACCTGCAAGTAATTTCTTATGCTCTGTTCCCATGCTCTGTTCCCATGCTATGCAGATCCTTTATTTTTTCTCTTCCATATTTTTAAATAGTTTTTGACTGACGTTCTGACGTTTTTATCCTTTGCAAAGCTTGGAAAAACGAAAGCCACTGATGTGACCTGGCAAGTTTGTCATTGAAAGTGCCGGTACAAATGAATAACTGATTCTGTTCCAAAAAAGGAAATACCGAGGTCAAGAGATGATCAAACTTGGATGATGTTCCAATCCTTTTTTTCTTTTTCTTTTCATTCTTTTCATTTTGCCTCGCTACTCATTTGGTTCACTTCAGTAAAATGCGTCGCCTTCTAACAGCGTCTCTATCAACCTTACAAGGAAACCCGCCATTTTCTACCTCTTTCATACTTCGACTGCTGTCATACGTTCATCATAAAGATATTTTAACGGAAGATCGCACCACAACAATTTCAACGTTCGCTCAACGAGCAAAGGTATTTTGTTTATCGTCTTGGCATTTGTGGTTACACCAAATTTTTCCTCAATCTAGGAATTCATTGCTCTGACTACACTTTTTTGTTCACATTTGGATCTATTTAACAGATGCAAGCAAAGTGAAGAAAAATGATCAAATGAGTAGTTATTTTCAATCGAAGGGCATTCTTATATTACTGGATATTGGAGTCACTTCAAGCGCCTACGATTTTCAGAGTGTGTTGTCGCTGCTGCAGAATTCGTTCTCCCTTTTTACTAGACCCGAGGCTGGCAATGGAACACTGCAAAGGCAGCTTCGCATGTATACGGCTTATTCTATCCAGTTGTTGAGACACTTGCAACTGCTGGATGAAAATGTCAGAAGTTCTTTTGAATTTGTTCCTTTCTTTGGTTTTTATCCATATTGCTATGGTAATGTCACTTTTTTAGTGTTGTGCCAAAAATTTGGCCGGATTCGCAGCTTCACTTGCAGAAGTGAACGCGGAGCCAGGAAATCTTGTATTTATACATTTGCTACAACGGGGTGCTCTACATTTGATGCTCAGACAAAGTGGGGTAAGATGTTTGTTCATACTTTCATGTGGTTGACACCCACTTCAATTAAACCCTTATTCTTTTAATGTGGAGGTTCTTTTCCATCGGAGTACGGTTTCAGGACAAGACCAAGGCGAAGTTAAAGATGATTACAGTATTAGCGAATTTATTCGTTCGACATCGTGTTCCTCACTGGTTACAAATGACCGATAAAAATAGTTATCCACCTGAAACGCGGAATTTGGTGAGTATCTGTCGCCTTCTTTCATTCTGAAGAGTGGCTCACGATCGCCGTATGCTTTTGGTGTAATATGGATCGCCGTTGTTATGCTCTGCTCATAATTTTTCGGTGATATGTCTCCATTTTTTTGCGGATTTTTTGTTTCCCTTGTGGAACAGATTGTTAACATTTCTTTTCTGATTTCCTCGACATCATGTAATTCCTTATGCCTTGCAGCTGGAGTGAAGCGTTAAGCTTTATCTCTTTCCTATTTTTTTTNTTTTTTTTACAGATATTCCTTGCTGAATTGCCAAGTGAAATGTTAACACTGGTGAATGAGTATAACAAAATCGCTATCAGTCTCTATCACAAGTTCATGGCCGCAGCATCTGATGATCGTAAGCTTTTGGTGAGTTCCCGATTGCCTTATTTGAGATTCCGTTCGAGAATCGACTATGATTCTACCGCAGATCACATGAGTGGAATGCATAGATCCATAGACCTTTGATTCAGGCGCCTGAGTTTGCTAATGCTCGACAGGATACTTCAAACTTATTCATAACTGAAGATTTGGTGTCACCGGTTTTCCAAGGCTACTCACACGATGCAACATTTTTGCCGGTCATCGATTTCAACCAACGTGATCATCGTGGCAGAAAGGTGAGTAAAGTGATGTACAAAACCTTTCTTCGGTCCTACCCAGCTGCTAGGGATGACGACTTGTGGTCATTTATCATAGCTGATTCTAAACATTAGTGATATTTCATTCTGTAAGAAATGACTGTAGGTAAATATGGGCTGTATTGTATACCTAGTTCAGCGATTGGGATAACGAATATACCGCTATTTCTCTGTTTTTGGTGTGGGTAATTTTGGCTATAATATTGTTGTGCTTAGGCCTGGCTGGAGTCTTCTTAGGTGCCAGGCAGGGAGTTGATTTCAGCTTTTGAATCGTGTCGTTATTTTACATCTCTAATGTTTCAATGTAGATTAGCCATTGCGTACACTGGGAGTTGGGGCCCTGCCGAAAGCGGTCTCCTACATCCACAGTGTCCGCAGTCCTAATCTATGTCGCTGACAGACTAGTTTCGTGTTTGTGGGCGCAGTGCATCCTCCGTATCTGTGGCCAAGATTTCAGAATTTTTCGAGTCATTAATCTTTTTTTTTTCTAGATCCAATATAATGCCTTCGCCGTCGCATTCTATATGCATGAATCGCGGCAGAAACTACTTTCGATGAACTGCATCCATATAAATGAAATGTGGTACCTTCTTCATGACTTTATCGTTAGTTTCACTGTTTTCCTTACTCTAATTTCATTTAATTATTCCAGGAGCTCAACTGAGTACAAGTACGAATCGTTGACTTAGTTTCGAAGTGCACAGTTATGGGGCTGAAATATTCTTACTAACCTCAAAACTGGCTAGGGTTCTCATCGCGAAGGGCGGCAAAATGCAGCAGTTAGCAGAATAGATCAGATCAGAGCCTTACTTCTAGCTTTTAAAGGCACAGTACACGATAATTTTGGATAACCCAGATTATGACGAAAAATGCAAGATAAGTTGGAAAATAGTGCAGTGGAGGCAAAGGAAGTGAAAAAAGGATTCGAAAAATTGTTGATAAGGGGGCTTGACGAGAATGAGACTAGAGAACAGTGGGGCGGCTGGACGAGCTATACAATGAGTCTCACTGCGTACGTGTGGGTCCTGGTGCAAATAACTGACTACGTTAAGCGAAAATTCATTGATTTATAGGCATAAGTAAACAAAAAAACCCAGTTACAGCAAAAATAGCTCACCTTTCTCAGCCTATTGGGGTAGGAAATTTAAAAAATGATCGCGACAGCAAAAAGAATAACAGAGGAAAAAAGAATGTGAGAGAAACATCGCTCCATCACCCGGCAATAAGCTTATTCTGTATGGGTCCTAGAACGAATAATAGTAATCTGTATTGCCTCGACACTCGTCTGACGTGTCATCCATCGAGAGGCAGGAAAGCCGCTCAAGCCAGCAGCAGGGCTTCCACTATGCCCTGTCCGTCTACCTCCCATGGGGCCACTGCGNGGGGGGGGGGGGGAGGGGGGAAAACTCAGTAACCATTTCTATCGTGAACCGTGCCTTTAAATAGTGAACCATGAGTGCTTTGTGGTGCTAAGGATCACCTATGACTCGGTTTTCCATTCGGGAAGCACAAGCAAAAGTTATTTGAACATATTTAATCATGTTTCCATGAAATCTTGAATCACTGCAGCGCATAATTCAACGGTTGGCCGAAGGACTCGAGGCTGTCGCAAGGCAACAGGATCCAGTTGCAGAGTTGTTACGCGAAATTTACACGGAGTACTATTCGAAATTCTGCACTGCTTTTGGAATGAAGAGCAAAGGCTAAGTTGCAGTCGACACCTCTATTTTCTCATAATCTTTGTCATTTATTTGTGCGAGCTGTCCTATGTGCAGCTAAAGATGTTATGTTCGCGCTCTCTACTTGCCACATACATATCTACTTTTCCACTGTTATGGTTTCTTAGTCTATTGTCTGTAGTTTAGGCAAACTGTTTGCGAGTAGCATCTCCAGCTAGCTCTCATTTGCTTTTTGTCGAAATGTTGTTTTTTTTTNTTTTTTTTTGTTTTAGAGATTGTTGAGGTATTATTGGGTCATGATCCGGTTCGTAAGTAGGGGTTAGCTTTGCGATGTAACTGTTTCAGTGCTGAACATTCTTTCTGATCAAAGGGTCGTTTCCGTATTGTTCTGTCCGGTAATCCAGTGACCATTAGTCAAATGCCGTCAAAAATTAGTTGTTTTTGGTTTTTCTTTGATTATATCCTTTCTTTTTTTTTATTGCGATGCTATTTGCTCTAGATGCTTTAGTAAAGTTTTATGCATTTGTAAAGGGAACTATGTCAGATAAATTAAAATGCCCGAATATGAGGTTGTTTTTAGTTTTTTTTTTTTTATTTTGAAGATCTGAGACGTTTCCATGATCATCAAGTAAAGAGGAAAGCATCATGGGCTTGGGTCCACCTGTCGGCATTACGGACAACATAGGACATAGAATATGGATATAACAAAGATGGGAAGGATGAACGTGATAATGGCAATATAGCAGCAGTGCCGAAGTGGCGGAGTTTTTGAAGGCCAAGTGGGAGAACACTGGTGACTGGGAAGGTGGTCGAGGGGCGTAATTATAATTCAAGGGCAAACTCATATTTATGCACGGGACTTTGGCTGATGGTTAACCTTGCAGGAAGTGATGATTGTGAAAGGCTCTGTACACAATACAAATGGTTCTGAGCTTTCTCCATGAGATGTACCTGTGACGCCCGTGAATAGCACAAAGGACGTTATCAGGTCGGAAAACGGTCTGGATAGGGAGCAATAAGGGTCCTCAAATCGGCTCAGCAGGCGTATGCACCCGAAAGCGGACGATTTCTCACGGTATTTGAAGGTCTAGAGGCTGCGCCATTCGCACCGATAGGAATATGCAGACAGCTTACTGTAGCTGGCTGTACGTAGTGACACACAGTTGGACAGCTCGTCCAAATA